AGGTGGGGGATACTGATTTACCCTAGATCCAAATAAAGCATGCAGAAGTGGATGATTAGTTAAGCTGGTATCTCTTTTCTCTTTTGGTTTCCCCTTGAAATGTGAAGACAAAGGCAATATAAAATGGTTCCTCAACATATCTGTACAGCACTTCCCATTAAAGAAAATGTAAAAACAGACTCGGTGCAGTGGTTCATGCCTGTAATCCCAACCCTTTGAAAGGCCGAGGTGGGTGGACCACAAGGTCAGGAGTTCGAGACCAGCCTGGCCAACATAGTGAAACCCCCATCTCTACTAAAAATACAAAAATTAGCTGGGTGTGGTGGCATGAGCCTGTAGTCACAGCTACTTGAGAGGCTGAGGCAGGAGAATCACTTGAATCCCAGAGGCGTAGGTTGCAGTGAGCAGAGACTGCGCCACTGCACTCCAGCCTGGACAACGGACTGAGACTCCATCTCAAAAAAAAAAAAAAAAGAAAGAAATAAGAAAATGTGAAAGCAACAATCATTACTACTTTAGTAGCAAGCTGTGGGTGTACAAACCCCAATGTCTTCAGAGTACTTTTTAAAATGTGTAACTTAAAGTCAGAAATAGACCAGAAAATCCCTTTTTCATCTTCTATGTCTACAGCCAGTTCCCCAGCTCTGAGAATGCAAACTAAAGTACAAGAATGTTCATTTAAGTTATTGGATTACCGGCCTCACCATTCCCCATCCAAGAAGCATGTGTGAATTTAAAGGGCTCATTTTTGTGATGTTTGTCTCAAGTTAAGAGACAGTTTAATAAAACTTTAATAAATCTTCCTGTCTTTCACAAAAGAAATCTGTTTAGAACTAAAGAAAGATTTTTTTTAATAAAGATAAAATTTAGTTTTCCTAAGAAAAGAAAACCATGCTTACTACATCAGCTTTGTCCAATAGCACTTGCTGTGATGACAGAAGTGTTCTGTATCTGCATTGTCCATACAGTAGCCACTAGCCACCTAGTACTGAGCACTTGAAATGTGGTTGGTGTGACTGAGGAGCTAAATTTTATTTCATTTTAATTAAATAGTGACACGTGCCTAGTGGCTACTACATGGGGCCATGTAGGATAATCAACATAAGTCCCCATCAGCAGAGCTGAATAATTCACTCATATTACAATGAATGTCATAATTTTGAATATATATACATATTATACCAATATACCCATATTCGATTTTTAGCTTCCTAATTAGTATTTAAGATTCCCTCGTAAGTGGTTTTTCAACAAATTTTGGCAATTTTTATTCTAAAACATGAACATACTTAATCTGCTGAGCAAAATTCCTTTGGCAATATTCAATTTTCCATCTGTGAAACTTGGGCATAGGGAAAAAAAAAATTCTTCACAAGCCCACCCTCCTATTGATGTAAAGGGAAGAAGTGAAATATAATCTAAAGAAAAGCTAATATAACTACTGAGATTATTTTATGGGTATACCTGTTCATCAACCTCTGCTTAGATGTACTTCTTTAAACTCAGCTGAGGCTTTCAACCAAATTCACTCCTATATTTGTTTGACTTCTTGACTATTTTCTGTTATGACCAGACTATGACCAAGCCCTCTGAAATCAAGTATTCTACATCTAGGAAAACCTTTTAAAATATATACATTAAAATACTCTATATTTAAATGAGACAAACTGATCAAATTGTCAAAATGCAGTAGCCTAAAGAAAAGCAGATGCTTCAGAGAGACTAAAATATGCAGATCATGCCAAGACCACATTCCAAGCAGGTGGCAAAAGAAATTACAGTTTTATAGTCAGCAAGGAAGAGACACCCCAAGAAAATATGCTTAAAAATACACTGCAGTTATGCTATGGCCCCAGGATAACTAATGTTGACATCAAGCAACACCACTGCACTCCTTCTAATCTCAAGGTCAATACCAAATTAATTTTACCTTCCCAGCATGCTAATGCTTAAATATACCATACACAAGCACAAACATTTCAGTAATTTCATTGTTAAGCAGAATGAACTTCTAGAACGGGTTTCTGAAAATACTATAAGCTAATTTAAAACAAGCAAACTTAAGTATACTGTACAAGAATAAAGCCACTAGTACCATATAGCATATATTTGAGAATACTCAAACTATACCAAGCCAAGCAATTCTAAGACAGCAGTGCAATTCAGGTAAGAATTCAGCACCATAGGCTGGAACTTCATTTTTTTCTCTACCAGTGCTTTGGCTATCACCTAGTCCTAAAAAAGGGCCAGAAGCTCACCTACTATATCCAAAGAGCATTGGAATCTCAACAAGACAGACGACAATTAAATGGCACTGCCTGAAAGGAGAAAAGGCTTCATCTGGCGCAACTGAGAGCACTCAGACATAGCAAGAGTCTGTCAGACTCCATAAAAGCTGTATACTGTCAGTCCTTCTTTTGTGTGTGTGGATAAAATCTGCAGACGCAGCCTGGGCGGGAAAGAGGGAGACAGAATTTCAAATGGAGAACTGCCATACTGCGTGACCCTGACAGTACCCCTCCTCATTCTGCGAAGCTATGAACTACACCTCTACTGACCACAGCATCTGCATTATCTCTAAGGAGTCTGCCTATCAGGTAGAAATTTCTGTGCCAAAAGCCTCCACATCTGACAAGTGCTAAAAACCTCCATGATTTTTTTAATTATCTTAATTCTTAGGGGGGAAAATCAAATAAATACAATAAGTGATTCATAATTTTCACAGCAAGGGCCTAAGTTCTCAAAGCATATAAGGTCTAGCTCAGAAAATAAACACCACTTGTCATTTAGTTCTATAAAAGTCCACTACAGAATAGTGTTACTCTTGCTTCCCAAAATGCAATTTAAAGGTGGAAATCACAATCTATTTAAAGACACTCAGAAGATCAATTAGCTTAACAAAGTTAACTTAATTTTTTGTATTTAATACTCTCAGATTTATGAGATAAAATATAGATTCTAGCAAACAAAAGAAACATACATAAAATAAAGCCATTTTTGCTTTCTTTTCAAATTGCTAACAGTGCAATAGCACATCAAATGAAGAAACTTATTAAACTATCTTAGCACAAATATGGCTGCATCATTTTTCTAAATTTCCAGTGTTTACGGGCATCTTCCATGAAATAGATGAAATATCTTACATTTTCACTTTATAAGCTCTCGAGTCCTATACAACGCTCTCCTTTTCCTCTACCAGAGCTTTTGCAGACCAGTTTTAATAAATGTATCTCAATCCACAATAAAAACATTATCTAAGAAATTTATCAATATATATTATACTTCTGTAAACATCAGTCTTTCTGAGATTCTGAAGAGAAACCCAATAAAACTGTTTTCTTTTAATTTTTTTTAATAGTGAAGACATGAAAGCATCCTCAACCCAAAGTGTAATGTATATTTAATCACGGCTCCTGACAAATTTTGTCTTATGCATTAAACAAAAGTGTTCTCACTCTTACCTGTATATCCAGCATACCATCCCCAGGAAGCCACCATTCCTAAAAGCCATTTATACATGATTCCTTCGATATACCAGAACCGCTTACTGTCCAGCACGCGAAGGGGCTGAAGTATAATTACATAGCAGATATAGGATGGAATAGCAACCAGGTTGTTGGCGACCATGAAGGCAAACCTCATCAGTGCTTTCACCAAGAGCCAGCCCAGCCATGGAGCTTCTTCCAAAGTCATAGCCATTCTCACATTGGAGTCCGTCTTGTCTTTCTGGGGTAAAAGAAAAATTAACTTAAAAAGGAAAATGGATTAAACACATCTAAACAGTCACCAACATGGAAATCGCCCCTAGCACAAAATACAAAGCGAGGGTCGAAGCTTCTGGGTGTTGTAGTACCTCGGTGATCTCTCGGGGGAAATTCCAGAGGGGGGACAGAGAGCGAGGGAGGAGGAGCCGCACAAGGTCAAGGGAGCTGTTAACCAAGGCACTGGGTATGTCACAATATATTTAGCAAATGATAACACAATTCCCATTCAGTAACCGGCAGCCGTCCCCGCACCGCGTCTCACTGCAGTCGTCTATGTGGACTCAGAAAAATAGATCCACGCGCTTCATACACCCTCAGGATCTCCAAACTGAAGACACGAGTGACACAACCGAAACAGGGTCCTCTCGATCAGATTTCCCAGATACTGAGGACCTCGGTCCCCTCACCACCACCATTCCTGCAAACTGATGCATTCCTTTAAAAGGTCTCTGGTGCCAGCGAAGAGTTACCCTCAAAATTTTCATTTGCAGCAATAGGGTTTTTGTTTTCCCTTTTTTTTAAGAAAAAAAAAAAAAAAGGGGGCCCAGAAAAAAAAAGCTTAAAAGGTGAGAGGAAGAAAGTAGGAGTTATAAAGCGAAAAAGAGGAAGGATAGGAGAAGGGGGAGGGGAGCAAAAGGCAAAAAGAGGTAAAAGCCAAGGAACCGGGGATGAAGAGAATGAGATCTCCGACCAGAGGGCAGGGAAGCGGGGGATGATGAAAGCAGCAGAGAAGAGGAGGCTACCGTAGCGCGGGGGACCGGTAGAGCCGGCAGCGGTTTCCGCGGATGTGGTGGGGTCGTGGCGGCGGGCACGGCCCGCGCGCCGGGCTCACCTCGGCGGGCGCGGACGGCGGGCTGCTGCGGAGCGCCGGGGCGGGTGTCCCCCGCCGAGGGGTCGCGGTCATGGACGCGGAGGCGGCCCAGGCGGCCCGAGGCGCGGCGTGAGCGGGCGCGCGGGCGCCCTACTCCCCTCGCGGCTCCCTGCGGACAGAGGGACGGGGAGACTCAAAGGCCGGACCTGTCACCGGGGCGGGTCCCGGGTAGGCGGGCGGATGCCCCGCGCCCCCACCTCCTCCCCGGGGCCTACCGCGCCCTCGTCCCTCAGACCGCCGCCGCCTCCTCGGGCCACGCGACGACGACACCCCGTCCCCACCCCCAGCGCCTCCCCAGGCCCGGTTCCGCTGCCGCTCGCGGGCCTGCGACCGCTGAGCTGGGGGTTACCTCGGGCTGGCCGGGCCCCGGCCTGGGCTTTGGAAGCCTGAGGAGCCGGAAGAATGCATGGCCGGCGGCGAGGCCGCGGAATAAGGTGGCGGCGGGGCCCTAGCCCGGCTCCGGCTGTGGCACGGCTCGCGCCTGGTCCCCAGCGGCGCCGACACTCGGTCCCCAAGGGCCCGGCCGCGTTCGCCCAGGCTGGCGGGGAGGGGCGGCGGGAGGAAGCGGCGGGAGTCGGGACTACGGCGGAGCCGCCCCCACAGCGCCCTCTAAGGAAAGCGCGGTCGCTGCCGCCTGGCCCGCGCGCCCCGCCTGGCCCTGGCCTCAGACCCCTTCGCCTGCGAGTCGGGACCCTCGGCGCTAACTGGACGCTGGGCCAGGACCTCGGTGAGTACAGAACATACCGAGGGAAAGGGCGGCGCGGAAAGGCCTAGAATTGAACCCACCCTCACACCCCAGGAGTGCTTTGGTGCAGTTGAGAGCCCCTTTTCAGCCAACACGGCCGCCTCTCATTGTTAGGGCTCTCTGCCCAAACTAGGAACCTGTCTCCTGGAAGACTAAATGTCCTCTTTTCATTCTTAATGAAACACAGTTGCACTAATGGCTTTTCTTCTTAACCTCTGGAGAGTATTATTGTCTAGTGTTTTAAATTCATTCTTTTTAGTGTCAAAAGACTTGTTTCAGGAAAGCAGTTGGAACATTAATGGCAATTCCACTTTCCCGTTTATCGCCCCTCCCCCCACCACCCGTCCAAGAAATTCAGTGGGAATGAATGGTCTACACAGAGAAACTGAAATCTGGTTAGTCAAGAAGGAAAAAATAGCCAAGTGCCTGGCATTAAGTAAATATTCACTCCCCCCCCCAAAAAAAATGAAAACAAAACAAAAACGGTGGCCATGAGAACTCCTAGACAGGTACCTGTCACTGCATTCTGACTCAAAGGCTGGACCACCTGAAGGAAAATAGGGAAATAGTCCATTGACCTACCGACTTGAACGTTCTTAAATGATCTACCTAAATTTTAGTTTTTAAAAACCCTGTATATAAAACCTTATGTCACTTAATCTCATTTGTAAATGGAGGGGATAGGGGTACGGCAGATTTTACACTCCCTAGGGAACTGGCATATTTGAATCAGAATGCCACCTATTCTGCCTACTTTGAAAATATTCATCACAGAGTTTGCTCTGAACTCTCAGCTTTCTCTAATTTCAGTTCCTCTTAGGTCCACAGGTGAAGGAAAGATATGCCCCATTCTATTCCTTGCATTCTCTCTTAGTTGACAAGGGTAGTAAGATCTTTAAATAAATCTCATGAGAGTGATAATATATGTACTTTAGAATATTGTTCAAAATATGTAATTATTTTCTTAAATAAGATAGGTGAGGCACATACTTATTTCCAGAATCAAGAATAAACTCTAAGGATTCCATTTGGTCCATCCCATTCAGCTTTCTCACCTGCTCAGTAAACGTTGGCTGACACCTGGAGAGAGATAACCTACAATTGGATTTACACATGATTCCTCGATCAGAGACGATCTGCCAGAGGACTAGACACAGCAGCACCTGGTGAAATGAAATTTAGTACCAGGCCCAGAATTCATTTTCAGGCTCAGAAAAGAGCCAGAGGTTAGGCAGGACCTCTGGCTCTTTAGTATACAAAAACAGCACTTGCAGGGTCTACCAAAGAAACAGATTCTTAGGCATCATACATTTTAATACTCTAGGTCCAGTGGACCTGGGAACCTGCTTTTTAAAAAGTATCATAGGTGGTTCTGATGCAGGTAGTATGCAGACCTTGCTTTAAGAAAACTTGACCTGGAGGTATTCTGAGATGATCACATTCTTTTCTAGTCCCTTCATAATTTTAAATTATTTGATCATATCTGTTCTCATGTGTGTTAGCCAGGGCTGCCATAACAAAGTACTTGTAAACTGGGTGGCTTAAACAACAGAAACTTATTTTCTCAAAGTTCTGAAGGCCAAAGTCAGAGAGCAAATTGTGGGCAGGTCTGGTTTCTTCTGAGGCCTATCTCGTTGGCTTGCTGATCACCACCTCCCATTTGGTGTTCACTGCAAAGTTCTGCCATTTCAGTATCTCCTCAAGGAAGGAGTAAGGGAGAACCTAATCTCAGTCTTTCAGATGTCTTCCTATTAATTGCCTACAACCTCATTAGACTTTTCTTGAAGCTCAACAAACAGTACAACACATTATGTTCCAGGTATAGATACCCCTGGTTTTGTGCCAAGGGTGTAGGAGAGTGGTAATCTTCTTAACCTTCTGACCAAAATATCACATTCAGTTTCAAGATAATTCAGCTCCTATAATAGATGAGAAACTGTTTTGGCTGACTTCTTCAGGGAACAATTTCAGATGACACATTTATTTCTTGCATTTCAAAGTTCATTTTAGTTAGTTGTACCTTCCTCTTGTCTATACTACAAATTTTTTGCCCTGCTTCCTTTTAACCACTTAGGAAGCCTCCTCAGATTTTTCCATAGCTTAATTTACTGCACCACGGACAGAGAGATGTATGAATTCTCTGAATGACTTTAGCAGGAAGGTTGGAACAGCCAGTTATCCAGGGTAGACCGGTCTGTAGAAAACAAGGAACTTCTTCAATGACTAGTTAGTTTCTAGTCCCCTATCCTGCTACCTTAGAGCCATCTTTATCAAAACACAAACATGAAGCCAACAATTTCAACACCCCTACAGAGAAAAGAGGGAAACAAACAGAGTCCACCCATACATTATTGTTTCTGTTTTAAAAACCCACCTTTGAACCACAAGAGAATGGTCCTTTGAAAGAGAAAGAGGATTTCTTACATTGCTTGGAATCTCCACTCATTTGAAAACAATCTAACCATATAACCTTGAAAGGATTAATTCCACCCATCTGGTCCACATACACAGAACAAATTAGGTTATAACCAGGGAGAGGTTCCCTTGAGCAGAAGAATACTCCCTGGGCCCTCTCTTTTTCCTAGCAGCAATTATAAAAACATTTTGCCTACCTGTGTTGGTTTCTGAACTAAAGCTCCAATGAACTATTTCCTCTCTAGGGAGAAACCCTACCAGCAATAGCCTTCAATGACTTGGCACAGCACCCCCTGCCCCCGCCACACACACATTAGTAGGAAACAGTTGCAAGCTTGAAATCAACAGCCCGAGAGAGTCATGCATTCTGACTGCTGTCAGCTTTAACTTCAAACAAAAAATGGAACTATATATGGGTGTTCTCTTCTATATTCATGTCAGTAATTATTTTATGTAAAATGTTCTAGGGCTTATAACCTTAAAATTTTTTAGACAGGGTGAGCCAAATCATCCAGACTTGGCAGGCGTGGTGACTCACGCCTGTAATCCCAGCACTTTGGGGGACTGAGACAGGCAGATCACTTGAGGTCTGGAGTTCAAGACCAACCTGGCCAACATGGTGAAACCCCGTCTCTACTAAAAATACAAAAATTAGATGGGTGTGGTGGCACCCACCTGTAGTCTCAGCCACTTGAGAGGTTGAGGCAGGAGAATCACTTGATCCTGGGAGGTGGAGGTTGCAGTGAGCCTAGATCGTGCCACTGCATTTCAGCCTGGGTGACAGAGTGTGACTCTGTTTCAAAGAAAACAAAGAAACAAATCATCCAGACTTGACTGCAACTCTCTTTATTAACACAATTGGCCCTAAACAATACTGTGAAGTAAACAACTGTGTCTCCTCCAGGCTTCTCTCCTGTTCAGCTAGCTTCTCTTTTCCCTTCTTAAGACTAAAATCATCCCTAGTTTCCAAAGGGTCCTGAAGACCTCCCTCTGCTCCCCAAACAGATAATACTCTAAGCTAGAACCTTCTTTCTCACCTGTCCAATGTTGTGTTTTCTTGGCTCAGTCCTTATCTCCCATGCCTGGTGTGGTCAACTAATCCATGACAAGGTGCTTATGGGTAAAAAATGGAAGAGAGAATTCTCTTCCTAAAGCATTAGTGTTTTATAAAGAAACTCCTAAAATCCCCAAAGCCTTAAATATTTCTGCTGGCAGATTCTCAGGTATTGTAATGGATGAATATATTTGTAAGATGTTTTGGAGAAGGATATTTTGGCAAGTTCCTTTATTCACAGAACCTACAAAATCACATAGTACACCTATGAATAAGACAAGTTCAGATTTAAACTTGTATTTTTGTAACATAAGATTCAAAATAATGACATGTTATTGCTGATTATGTTAAAATAATAATAATCACTGGCAATTATTGATCACTTTCAACAATCCAGGCCATGTTCTTGGTGCTTTACATACATTAATTCATTTAATCTTCACAATGACTTTTTTTTTTTTTTTGAGACAGGGTCTCACTCTGTCTCCCATACTGGAGTGTCCTGGCCTGGTCTCTGCCTCACTGCAACCTCCACCTCCCATACTCAAGCATTCCTTCCACCTCAGCCTCCCAAGTAGCTGGGACTACAGACGCATGTCACCACAGCCAGCTAATTTTTTTTATTATTTTTTGTAGAAACAGGTTGGTTTTGCCATGTTGCCCAGACTGGTCTTGAACACCTAACTCAGGCGATCCACCTGCCTTTTTCTCCCAAAGTTCTGGGATTACAGGCATGAGCCACTGCGCCTAGCCCACAACAACCTTTAAAGGACCGTATTGTTACCCACATTGTATAAATGGGGAGGTTAAGTGATTTGCCCTGATTTCTACCCTTTTTCCTCTGTCCTCACCTCCATCTCCAGGAGGCCACTGAATCTCACATCTCAAGCTTTCTTTCATGTTATAACTTTAAGACCTATCATTGACAGCAAGCTCCTAACCTCTTCTGGAACCTTTTATCTCCTAAATACCTAAGTTTCTGGGTTCCCCCAACAAATTTAAAAAAAAATAATTGGAACATCTTTGTTCTAGTGTTGAGATGGTGTAATTTAGTGATATTTGACAAGAGAAAGGAATTTTTCTGTAGAAAAGGAAGACAGGGATGGGATGTGGTGGCTCATGCCTATAATCCCAGCACTTTGAAAGGCTGAGGTGGGCAGATCACTTGAGACCAGGAGTTCAAGACCAGCTTGGGCAACATGGTGAACCCTGTCTCTACTAAAAATTAAAAAATTAGCCAGATGTGGTCGCACATGCCTGTAATCCCAGCTACTCAGAAGGCTGAGGCATGAGAATTGCTTGAACCTGGGAGGCGACGGTTCCAGTGAGCCAAGATTGTGCCATTGTGCTCCAGCCTGGGTGATAAAGCAAGACTCTGTCAAAAATGAAAGATGGACTGACGGATGGATGGATGGATGGAAGGAAGGAAGTAAAAAAGGAATGAAGGAAAGAGAAAGAGAGAAAGGAAGGAAGGAAGGAACACAGAATAATTCCACTTATGAATGAGGAAAATAAAGTGTGGAAAAATTATGCAACTTGTTCATCATAGAGTAGATCAGAAATCTAGTTGGTGTGGTATCAAGGTGACCAGATCAGACTGGCTTACCCAGGACTACTTCTATAATTTCGTATTGAAAGTCCTGTGTCCTAGGAAATTCCTCGGTCCTGGCAAATGGTTGGTAGCTCTATATGTGGTCTCCTGATTCCTGGGTCCCCATACAGTCCCTTAGGTTACGGAGATCCAGCCTCCCTGCTCCCCTCCCTCCCCACTTTTCGATCTGCTATACTTACTCCCTAATGATCTGATACATCAGAAGTTAACAAGACATTCAGGGTTGATAGTGGTGTTTAATGTTTCCTCTAAAACATATTAGTTGCCCTTACCTGGGTTAAATTTCCCTCTCTTGCCCAAGTCTTCTGTAGTGTAGCTTGGCTCTTTCCATGCTTTGCATCACATCGGCTTAAATCATAAGGGATGTGAGAAGAACTTTTCACTGTGTTCCTACTCCAACTGTATGTTTAAGATTAATTTATCATTTTGGAGCTGAGCCTATTGACTAATACTCTGTTGTAATGAAAGTCATGCCACCTTGCATTTCTCCAACGCTTTTCAGTTGACAGAGTTCTTTGACACACGCGTTTGCATGCATGCGCGCGCGCGCGCGCGCACACACACACACACACACACACACACACACACACACACACAATCTTGTTAGATGCTTTCAATAACCCCCTTAAGTAGGCGGGTACTTACTGGTTGAAAGAAATAAGAATAAAGTTAAGGAAAGATTTTCGCTTGAAATGTCTTCAAGAAATATTTTATGAAACACAATTTAAAATATTTTGTTTATCTTAGATTTTATCTTCAAATCATATACTGAAGTAGAGATCTGAATTATTTGAAATCAGCTGCTGGCAAGCCTACAGCCATGAGAAATCCCAAAGTGGGGCTGGGGGATGTTCTTCTGTTCTGAGTGCTATGAATCAAACAAAGCCATGGGCAGAAGAGTGATACTAAAATGCTGCGGCTTTATACGTGGGATTTTTAAAATTTAGAACCATTTAAGTTATATTAATATATTGTTTAATTTCTAAAGTTTTGGTAGCTTCAGTTACTCCGTGTTATGCTGAACTGAATGACATTATTTCAAAAAGCTGCTTACTCATAAACAGGCCTAGTCATAAGAATCACTTAGGGTTCTTTTTAAACTCGGATATTAGTATATATGCAGATCTGCTAGAGAGCTTGTTAAAATGCAGATTCTGGGGTCCTATCCCAGAGATTCTGATCCCATAGGCCTGGAGTGGGACCCAGGAATCTTTGGCTTTAAAAAGCATTTTCATGTGATCTGAGGCAGATGATCTGAGGATCTCTACAGCCTTGCTATTTACATCTGCCAACATTGGCATCACCTTGGATATTTTATTTATTTTTGACTTATTTATGTTTATTTATTTATTGAGACAGGGTTTCACTCTGTTGCCCAGGCTGAAGTACAGCTGTTTGATCTCAGCTGCCTCCTGGGCTCAGGTGATCCTCCTACTTCAGCCTCCCAAGTATCTGGGACAACAGACAGACACACATACCACTATGCCTGGCTTTTTGTATTTTTGTAGAGGCAGGGTTTTGCTATGTTGCCCAAGCTGATCTCGAACTCCTGGCCTCAAGCCATCTTCCTGCCTTGGCCTCCCAAAGTGCTGGGATTGGATATTTTAGAAATACAGAATCTCAGGCCCCACCCTGGATCTCCTGAATCAGAATCTGCATTTTAATAAGATTCCTAGGTAATCTGTATGCATATAAAGTGTAAGAAGCAGTGCCCTACAATACAGTGAATACCACCACACCAATCCAGAAATTGAAACCAAGTGAGAGCTCTGAATGGATAAAGTGCAGCAATGGGCACTTTCAACATGTACTTAATGGCCAGTGTGGTGGCTCACATATGTAATCCTAGCACTTTGGGAAGTCAAGACAGGAAGATTGCTTAAGGCCAGGAGTTTGAGAACAGCCTGAGTAATATAGCGAAGTCCTGTCTCTACAAAAATATTAGCTGGGCATGGTGACATACACCTGTAGGCCCAGGTACTGGGGAGGATAAAGCAGGAGGATTGTTTGAGCCTAAGAGTTCGAGATTGCAGTGAGCCATGCTTGCACCACTACACTCCAGCCTGGGAGTGGAGACAGAGAGAGACCCTGTCTCCAAAAAAAATAAAATAAAACCAAACATGTACTTAATAAATATTCATTAGGTGGATTTATTTTCACAAGAGATGGTGAGAGGGACTATAGAAGTCCCCTGGTGTAAACTAACACCGAAAAATCCTGAATAAAGCAGAAGTCCACATAAGAGTTAAAGGAGTTAAGTAAGGTTATTTTATTTGGTGTTTGCTATGTACCTAGAACTTTGCTTCTTCCATTCTATTTGGGGGAGAGAAAGCTAATATAGAGGAAACTTTTAGAGGATAATGAAATATCCCTGTGCTATGTGGGTACTAGGTGTTTGCAATTGGAGCTTGAGTGAAGGGGTAATGAATGTCTAGAATAGTCAGAGGAACACCCATGGTGAAGGAGGAAGATGAGCTAATCAGTAAAGTGTGGGTAGAATTTATGTAGGTTGACAGGAAGCCCTCCTAAGTAGGAGAAAAAGCAAGGAGAGTAAAATTGAAAATGAGTTTCATATGTCTGGGAAACCGAGAGGTGAGTGGCCCATTGTGGCAATGGTTTAAAGTGAGAGGTGGAAAACTAGAACATTATGTAGGATGAAACTAAATTGTAGATAATTTTGAAAGTCATAAGTAGAACTTGCTCTATTGTGTGTTTTGCAGATGCTGTTATTTCCCCCAATATCCATTCATTCTTTCTTCCTTATTAGGGGAGGATTTCTTTTTTTTTTTTTTTAAGTTCAGCCTATGGACAACAAAAGCATGGACTACATTTCCTAGCACCCTTTGCAGTAAGGTCTATAATCTGGCCAATGAAATATAAACAGAAGTATCAGCTGTGACTTCTCTAAGGTATCCTTAAAGGATAAAAGACACATCTTCCTTTTTCCTGTTAACTAAATAGGGATGAGGAAACTGGAGCTCAGGTAGCCATTTTGTACCTGAAGGTGGAAGCCACAAGCTAGGGAGAGCAAACAACACGTGGATCCCTGATAATTAGGTCATCCTAACCCTGGACTGCTTTCCTCTGGCCTCTTTAACAGGAGAGACCAGAGGAGAACCATGAGAGAGACGTAAATTTCTATCTTGTTTAAGCCACTATTGTTGTGCTTTGGATTTTCTTGTCATGTACAGCCAAGCCTAATTGTAACTAATAAAACATGCAATTGAAAGACAGAAATGCAAGGGTTTATGCATCAGGTACCATTCTGGTTGCATCTCTTACAAACTCTATGCAGTAATAGATTAGTAACCTAATCTCGCTAAGCCTTTGTCTCCTCACATGTAAAATAGGAAGAACATTCCTCAAGGGTGATTGTGAGGAGCAAATTATATTAAATATATAAAGTATTTAGCACAGTGCTGGTGCATAGTATACTCTTAATAAGTGTACCTTTTCTAATTATATACATGGGCAGATCAGCAAACCAATACAGGACACAGTAATGTCTGTGGAAATTTACAGGATATCCACATCTGGAAGATTAGCATGACACTAGTTGGCATTATGATTTGGAAGATGAATAGATTAAAAGCAGGGAAAGGCTTCAGAGATCTCAAGTCTGGCCTGTAGTATTAGCAGTGGAACTGAAGTGGATATTTATTGAACCCCTTTTTATATGTCCTAGGCGTATTCTAGGAGTCAAATCCACAGTGGTAAAAACCATGTGTGTTTTTACACTTAAAGAGTTTACAGGCTAGTATGGGAGTCAGACATAAAACTACTAATGGATAATTATATAATGACAAACTGAGGTACGTGACCTGAGGGAAAGGAACAGAATGTTCCAATAGCTTGTATTAGAGGAACTGAATGTAGTAAAGCGCAATTAAGCTGGGATATGAAGAACGAACCTGGGTTAACTAAGAGAGGCAGAAAGTACATCCTCTGAAGGGAAATGAAGGGGAAAGGCCATGTGGTGAAAAAGGTCACAATGAGTTCTCTAAATAAAGATAAAACTAGTGCACCCACAGTGGTGAGTCCAAGGGGAGCCTAGTCTAAGATGAGCTGGACAGATAGGCAAGAGATACACCCTATGGGGTCTTGCAGACCATCATAAAGCATTTTATTACAAGGATGATTGGAAAGTGCTGGCAGGTTTTGAGCAGAATCCAAGGGTGCCCAACCATCCCAATTTGCCTAGGATTGAGGGATGTGAGACTTTCAGTGCTAAAATTGGAGCAGTTGGCGGGGTGCAGTGGTTCATGCCTGTAATCTCAGCACTTTGGGAGGCCGAGGTGGGTGAATCACGAGGCCAGGAATTTGAGACCCGCCTAGCCAACATGCCAAACCACCATCTCTACTAAAAATACAAAAATTAGCTAGGCATGGTAGTGGGCACCTGTAATCCCAGCTACTTGGGAGGCTGAGGCAGGAGAATCACTTGAACTCAGGAGGCGGAGGTTGCAGTGAGCCAAGATCGTGCCATTGCACTCCAGCCTGGGTGACAAGAACAAGACTACATCTCAAAAAAAAAAAAAAAAAAAAAATTGGAACAGCCCCAGACAAACCAAAAGGTTGGTCACCGTCATAGTTATGTGGTCTGATTTTTTCCTAAAGTTTACATTTTGGCTGTTTTATAGAAAACTAACTGTAGGAAGGAAGAAGTGCAATTGACAAGACAGTTAAGAGGTTGTTATTGCAGTATTCAGACAAGAGAGGATGGTAGCTTGGGCTAGGGTGATGACAGTAGAGTTGAGGAAAAGAGGATGAGTGAGAGAAATTTAGGGGTAAAATTGGCAGGACATGGTGAGAGATGGAAATGCTACTTCTTTTTTTTTTTTTTTTTAAATATGGAACGCTTCACAAATTTGCATGTCATCCTGCGCAGGGGCCATGCTAATCTTCTCTGTATCATTCCAATTTTAGTATATGTGCTGCCGAAGCGAGCATGGAAATGCCACTTCTAAGACTGCATAGAGTAACTCAAGTATAAGAGTGAAATCTGGATTCAAATCCTATATAGGACTACTCTAATTATATACTCTTGAGCACTAAAACAGTAGGGTCTATACAAAAGGATTTTGCCTTATCCAAAGTACACACATACCTCTGAGATACTGCAATTTTGGTTCCAAACCACTGCAATAAAGCAAATGATAAAATTTTTTTGTTTCCAATGCATATAAATGTTATGTTTACATTATGCTACAGTCTATTAAGTGTGAAGTAGCATTATGTCTAAAAAAAAGTATAAACCTTAATTTTAAAATACTTTATTATTGAAAAATGCTAACAATTATGAGTCTTCAGCAAACTAATTTTTTGCTGGTGAAGGGTCTTGCCTCTGTGGATGGCTGCTGGTTAATCACAGTGATAGTTGCTGGAGGTTGAGGTGCTGTGGCAATTTCTTAAAATAAGTCAACTATGAATTTTGCAGCATTGGTTGACTCTTCCTTTCATGAAAGATTTCCCTGTAGTATGCTATGCTGTTAGATAGCATTTTATTCACAGTGGAACTTCTTTAAAACCTCTCAAACCCTGACACTGCTTTATCAACTGAGTTTATGTAACATTCTAAATCCTTTGTTGTCATCTTGACAATGTTTACAGCATCTTCACCAGGAGGAGAAGATTTCATCTCAAGCAATTACTTTCTTTGCTCATCCTTAGAAGCAACTCCTCATCCATTCAAATTTGATCATGAGATTGTAGCAATTTATTCACATCTTCCAGCTCCACTTTTCATTCTGGTTCTCTTGCTATTTCTACCATATCTGCAGTGACTTCCTTCACTGAAGACTTAAATCCCTCAAAGTCATCCGTGAGGGTTGGAATCAACTTCTTCCAAAGTCCTGCTATTGTGAATATTTTGACCTCCTCCCATGAATCACATTCTTAATGGCATGTAGAATCCTTCCTAGATTTTCAATTTACTTTGCCCTAATCCATCAGAGGAATCACTATCCATGGTAAATATAGCCTTATGAAATATATTTCTCTTCAATAATGGGATCTGAAAGTCAAAATTACTCCTTGATCCATGGGCTGCAGAATGGATACTTTGTTAGCAGGCAAGAAAACAACATTAATCTTCTTGGACCTCCCTCCATCGGAGTTCTCAGATGACAAGGTACATTGTCAATGAACAACAATATTTTGAAATTAATTTTTGTTCTGAGCAGTAAGTCTCAACAGTGGGCTTAAAATATTTAGTAAGCCATGTTATAAATAAATACACTGTCATCCACGCTTTGTTGTCCCATTGATAGATCACAGAAAATGTCAATTTAGCATAATTATTAAGGGCTAGAATTTTCAGAATGGTAAATAAGCATTGGCTTCCATTCAGTCACTAACAAGAGCCTTAGCCATCCTTTGAAGC